CTTTCTTCCTTCCTCTTTCCTCCCTCCTCTGTTTTCCTCCTTCCTGAGGCTTCCTCCTTTTTCCCTAGTTGAACTCCACATCCTTTTTCCTCCCTCCATTCTCTCTCGTCCTCCTGCCTTTGTCCTTTGTACTTTGTCCTTTCGACTTCCTCCTTCCTCTCCTTCCTCCTTCCTCTCCTTCCTCCTTCCTATTTCCTCCCTCCTCCTTTTTCCTCCCTCCATTCTCTCTCCTCCTCCTGCCTTTGTCCTTTGCACTTCCTCCTTCCTCCTTTCCCTTTCCTCCCTCCTCCTTTTTCCTCCCTCCATTCTCTGTGCTCCTCCTGCCTTTGTCATTTGTCCTTCGTCCATTGTCCTTTCACTTCCTCCTTCCTCTCCTTCCCCTCCTCCTGGGTTGGTGACCTATCTTTGGACAATTGAGCCTGGCGCCAAAACCATCTCAGGGTGTGTGGAGAGGCATCCAAAGATCTCGCTCCATAGACTTAAAAAACAGTTCAAATCTTCTCGAATTAAAAACAGGCCATAGCAGAGGCCTCTATTTTCTGAAGGGGGCAGGAAATGTGTGGTTCTACACAAGAGTGAGGCACGTAGAAAAAGAAGATTGAAAAAAACACCGTCTTTTAGAGAACAGGGATTTTTGAAAGGAGACTCTATACCCACGGCAAAACGTGGAATAGTCCCGATGGATCATGCTGACATGTTAAGATTCTACAATCAGAGAATACCCGGAATCCTGACTGAGCTCGTGATTAAAAGACATCAATCAGAGCTGTGGGGACCAGCGCGATGACTCAACATGGCGAGGCGCTGGCTGGCAGAGAGGAGTGGACTGGCTGCGAGGCGCTGGTAGGCAGCGAGGGGCTGGCTGGCAGTGGGGAGCTGCGTGGGCGGAGGATCTGATGTGGAGGACGAGTGCTGCTTGCAGGGCGCTGCGGGTGGGAGCGTGGGCAAGGTCAGTGGGAGTGGGTCGTTGTGGTTGGCAGAGTGCGGGCGTATCACAGGTGGGGTAAGCGTCAACGGCTAGTGGAGTGGTTGCGGGCTTCAGGAGGAGCTAGCAGCCGCTGCTGGTGGTTGTGCGGTCGCTGCTGGGGGTGCGCATGTGCGATGCTGACACAGTTTTTTTGGCCATGCTGAGTCAGCGCTGACCAGGCGGCGGCGAGGGCTTCGTTTGCTGGGTAGAGCGTTGGTTGATCTCACGACAAGACTTGCAGGGACTAAATGGCGACAGGGGAGGGAATAATGGTGCAGCTTGGTGGTCTTCTGTCTTCTGAAAGCACATGGTGCCATCTCGCTGCTCCGCGCTTTACACGGGCGATGCTGCAGGCTAGCATGCCGTGTGGAGAGAAGCTTGACTTAAAAAAAAAAAAAAAAAAAGTCAGGCTTCTTGAGGTTCACTCTAGCTCTTTTGTTTGCAGGTTCTAGTGGAGGGAGGTCGGCTGCCGCTAGTGGAGAAAAGCTTAGTGATATCATGGGGAGTGGGAGGAGGATTGACAGAAGTCACCGAGTGCGGAGTCGTCAGATGGGGTGCTGTCTCGTCTGCTTCGACGCGTGGAATCCAATCATCTGCTCGTCATCTGTGTTCACACCGTAGTCTGCATTAGAGATTGTCTTCATCAGCATCTTCTTCGTCATCATCTTCAACAGCATCAGAATAATAGTAGCGTTGTATCATCATCACAAGTTGTTCTCATCAGTTGCATTATCATCATCATTTTCGTTATAATCGAGGTGCGTGAGTATAGGAAGAATGGGGGGTAGTTTCTCCTCCCTGATCTTCTCTCTTCCTTTCCTTTTTCTCTCTCTATTCTGCTCTCCTCTCGTACCCTTCACCTTCTCCTCTCTAATCATATCTTTCTTCCTTGCCGCCTTGTTTTCTTTATCCTCACCTGATTGCGGTTCGGTTTGCTGGGGACCTGTGTGCTGGTTAGTGGTGAGTGGTGCTGGCCGCGTGGCGAAATGCAGGGCACTGGCTGCATGGCCTGATGATGTGTGCTGGCTGCATGGAGGGCTGCTGGGTGCTGCCTGCGTGGCAGGCTGCGGGCCACTGACTGTGTGGCAGGATGCTGGGTGCCAGCTGCTCGGCGGGGGGGGGGGGAAGGATGGGGCATAAAAGAGGAAGGGGGTAAAGGAGGGGGACAAGGGGAGGGGAGGTAAGGAAATAGGGTTAGAGGGGGGGAGGAAGGTGGAGGAACATCTCCGGCATTTCTGGTTTTCTTTGCCCACGAATCTGTTTTTTGAACTTTTTTCAGTAATATGCTTAATGTGATTCTCATCAATTTTATTCCTTTTTAGCTCTCTTCTTCTGTTTAACTATTAGTCACTTATATGTCTGAACTATGTTCTTGTTTCTATTTAGCCATCATACAATCTTCTCACCACTAATTTACGTACTACTTCCAATATCATCGAAATTATCGTAATTATCATCTCCAATTAAAATCCTAACCAAAATCCTGGTATTTTCCCGATATATTTCCAATCATCCGTACCTCAAGCATTGGTTCTTCACGATAAGCTAATCTGAATGGTATTTTTTAATACCTGAAAAATTCTAGTTAATCAATTACTAATTAGTAATTAATTAATCCCATGGTAACCGTCCGTACGTCCAGACCGGGTTCCGGACAGTCCGGTGTCCGGTCCTCATGTCTGGATGGAGGCCCCTGGGGCAAAAAAGAAAAAAAAAAAGGGGGCGGCCTAGGAAGTTTATCGGGTCCTGGCCGCCCCTCGAAAAATAACGGGGTGATTTTTTAGTGTCGTTTCACCCCACCGGACATGGCCTAGAGGTCCGGACACAAGACACTGCAGGTTTTTGAGGTGGCGGGTTTCGCACAGGCCCGAGCAATTTCAAAGCGGCCGTTTCGACGTGGTGCCCCCCGCTGCTGCCCGTTGGGAGAGAGAGAGAGAGAGAGAGAGAGAGA